ATTAATTTAATTTATTCTAATTATTTTAATATGTGAAAAATACTAATACGTATACGTTTTATAATGAATTAATATATTTCGAGAGTCGAATTATATATTTTAATAATATAAAAGTGTTCAAAAATTATATTGACTTTTAATTTTAATTATTTTAGCAAAGAGTTCCGAAATCTCTTACACACATAATAGGGATTTTGTTCATCCATATAATTCGCAATTAAGTATATATGTTAATTATTAATTTAATAAAATACAAAATTAAAATTAAAGGTCAAATATAATTTTTGAACATAAATATATTTAATTCGTTATAAAACGTATACCCGTGATAGTATTTTTCTCGTACAAAAATAACTAGAACAAATTAAATTACTCATAAAAAAATTAAAAATAATTAAATAATTTATATTATATATGATAATAATAAAACATTTATAAAAAAACAGATTCAATAAATATAAGTATTGAAAATCTCTCCTCCAATTTTAAAGTCGACCAGACTGGCAATAATTTATTAAAAAATTAGTTAAATTACAACGTTTCGGCTGTCATTGCAGCCCTTTTCAAGTAATCAGATTAATACAATAAATCAAATTACAGCAAACCCCCGACAAAATTAACCATGTTTTGATGAACAATGTATAACTGACAGAAGTGAGCACGAAAAAAAAAAAATAGATGTCGACTGTTAGCAGGAAACTTAGTCACAGTGACTAAGTTTCCTGCTAACAGTCAACATCTATTTTTTTTTTTGTGCTCACTTCTGTCAGTATACATTGTTCATCAAAACAATGGTTAATTTTGTCGGGGGTTTGCTGTAAATTTGATTTATTGTTTTAATCTGATTACTTGAAAAGGGCTGCAATGACAGCCGAAACGTTGTAATTTACTAATTTTTAAATAAATTATTGCCAGTCTAGTCGACTTTAAAATTGGAGGAGAGATTTTCATTATTTATTACTGGCGACTCTTAAGGATTATCATTTAAATATAAGTATATATATAACATGTACTTATATTTATTGAATCTGTTTTTTAATAAAATGTTGTATAAGCTTAGAAAACTTGACTTTGACGTAACTAGCAAATTTTATTTAATTATTTCACGACGGTTTGACGTAATAAAATGTTTTATTATTATTATATAAAATATAAGTTTAAATTCTTTAATTAATTTTTAATCTTTTATGATTAATTTAATTTACTCTAATTATTTTGTACGAGAAAAATACTATTATGGGTATACGTTTTATAATTAATTTAATATATTTGTGTTTAAAAATTATATTTGACCTTTAATTTTAATTTTTATTTTATTAAAATTAATAATTAACATATATACTTAATTGCGAATTATATGGATGAAAAAAATCCCCATTATGTGTGTAAGAGATTTCGGAACTCTTTGCTATAAAATAATTAAAATTAAAAGTCAAATATAATTTTTGAACACTTTATATTATTAAGAATATATAATTCGGTTCCCGAAATATATTAATTCATTATAAAACGTATACGTGATATTATTTTTCTCATATAAAAATGACTAGAATAAATTAAATTAATTATTAAAAAACTAAAAAGTAATTAAACGACTTAGACTTAGATGATAATAATAATGAAACATTTTATTAAAAAAGATTCAATAACTAGTAGGTCAGGTATAATTTTTTATTTATTTATTTATAACATTATGAGCTATTAAGCTCATCATCTCGTTCGCTCTCTGTCTTGCTTTCATTCGGCAAGTCACAAACGATATATGATACTCGTATGTTCCTACTTCAACTCTCGAGAATCTGAAACAAACGAAACTCGTGTCCAATATACAGGGTGTCCGGTAACTAACAGACCAATGATTACAAATGGATTCTTTGGTCAATTGGGAACGATTTTTCCTCAGCGAAAATGTCGAAAAAGGTCATCATTTTTTACAACTTTCCAATCTTTGTCATTATGTATCTTTATAACTAAGCCTTAAATTAAAATTTTATTATAGTAAACTCTACCTGAAATTAACTGAAGAATGTAATTATGTTAGACTTTTAACTCCAAAACGTTTAGTTTTCAAAAAACCTATTTTTTTCAATCGCTTATAACTCGAAAATTATTGACTTCTCAACATTTTTGCTAAGGAAAAATCGTCTCCAAATTGGCCAGAGAATCCGCCCTTAATCATTGGTCCGTTAGTTACCGGACACCTTGTATATATTATATAAAAGTGTATAGCACGTCAGAAGCTTGTGAGCTTACAGCGATAAGTAAAAACAATTGCGTATTTATTTCATTGCGTTTATCTGTTTAAACGCGCGCTTTAATTTTTCCAACGTTTTTGCCTGTTTATATTTTAAAGGTCCTCTCTTCTAAAAATCTTGTTTTAAAGATCCTCTCCGCGAGCAAAATTCGAAAACATAAATTATTTAATATTTTTACTTTATTATTTGTAAATCCTCGGTAATTTCAAAATTTTTCTATTTGAAAATTATTAATTTTCTATTGCCAATTAATTTTATCACAGACTTTACTCTTACTCCCATTGCACTTTCGTTTGCGGTTTTCAGTATACGATTTTTTATCGTAGTTACTGAAAATTATTATTGTGAATTATACTTGTGCAGTGATTTGAAGAATTTACAATTTCGTTGAAATTGTTGATTTTTCAAAAAAATTACGAGATTCGCGGAAATTGCGTGCTTTCTTGGCATTTTCCGTTCGCGGCAGGCGGTTTATTTTTGATTGTTGCAAGTGTTTTTGTTTTTTTTTTATTAAAATAGATAATAATAATGTGAAATAAATCACGATATTTGACAGATGTGCATATATATAGAAATTGTAATAATAATAATATTATATCATAAAATTGTAAATTGTTTCAATTTTTTATAGACTGCGATAAAAGATTTTACATTTGGATAAGAAACTGCGGTAAGTAAAAATATAAAATTCTTGAAAACGTAAAAATATTTGATAACGTAAAAAGGTGAACTTTGAAAAATAAGGAACTTAAAAATTGCACTAATAAATGGGCTATATATGTGAGCCGTGCGCGGATGTAAGGTGTGTTATATCGAAATTTAATTAATAGAATTGAGAATTAATCCCAATTTTAAGTCTTACAAATGTCCAAGCTAATTTTTGTACCTCGTGTACATTTTTGAAAGTTATATCGAAAAATTAAATTTCAATATGCGTCTTACATCTCACATTTCGCATACAGCTCACATATAGCCTATTTATCTCTTATACTTTATTTCAACCCTTATAGAAATTTATTACTAGTAACGCCAATTTATCACTTATTTCGAGTAATTAATCACTTTTATTTCGAATACTTAAATTACTGTATATTATAGTATTTTAAATACTCGAAATAAGTGATTAATTGGCGTAGTGATAAATTTCTACAAGAGAATAAGGAGCCTTTAAATTCTTAATGTAAAAAATTTCAAGTAATTTTCTTTAATAAAATTTAATTAAAAAATTTAATTAAAAAATTTTTGAACACTGTGTTATATCACATTTAAAATCGTGATTATTTCAATAAAAAAACATTTTATGTGTAAAAAATATATTTTTTATATTTAATAAATTTTATATATATATGCATATATGTAAAATATTCTCTCTCACTCTCTCTCTCTCTCTCTCTCTCTCTCTCACACACACACACACACACACAACGGGGGCCAAATCTCTCAAATTGGTCTCATGATCAATTAGCCTGGATTCGCACCAGGGGCAAAGTCTGTTGGTAATGTCAAACGAATTTAGCCTGGACTTGCACCAGGGGCAAAGTCTTTTGGTCGAGTCTACGAATTTAGCACGGACTCGAACCAGGGGCAAAGTCTTTTGGTTCAAGTCTACGAATTTAGCACGGACTCGAACCAGGGGCAAAGTGTGTCGGTAAGGGGCAAAGTCTATCGCACGAAGATGGCGGTCTCTTCTTTAGGCAGGCCTTTGGCGATCTGTCTATTAATCTGTGGTAATGCCGACCCTTAACTCGTTCAAAATTTTAGAGCTAAATGTGGCAAAGTATATATATTTATATAAGATATTTATAACGTTCATGCGCACAAGATTAGCTATAAACATAAAAGTCTCTGTATGTGTTTGAAAAATTTTTCAATAATTAATTAAATGGAATAATATATATCTATATCGATTAATCTCTCGTTCAAACTGACAGAAACGAGATTCCATCCTAAGACCAGTTGAAACTTGAACAGGATTCTGGATTAATCTTGCGGTTAATCAGCTCTTGATTATTTTTTCATTTTAATTAATCGATGATTGGAGAGCTGTGCGGTGTCTCTTTGAATTACAACACCGCCTCGCTATATATATATATATAATATATATATAATATATATATATATATATAAATATATACGACGTAGATAAAGAAGAATATCGAGTTTCTTTATTAGAACCGGTGTGGGAGGGGCGTAAAACTGCATTAATAGCGATTGTTAAAAATTCACAGCGTATCAAAGCGATATCGATCGGTTCTCAAAGAAAGAGAAAGAGAGGGAGAGGCAGAGAAAAGAGAGGAAAGCGAGAGATGGCGATGGCGAGCGGAGATGAAAGTGATAAGGACGAGCTATTCAATTGGGCCCGCGTGCGCGTAACGTCATCATCTACGACCGGCTGTGCTTTCAAACACTCGCCGGACATTCCAGCGAAGCGCTCGACCGTCTCCGTTGGAAAAACTGAGGCTTCTACGCGGACGTAAAAAAAAAAAAAAAAATAATCGAGGAAGATATATAAGTACGTTGCAGAGAGAGAGAGCAGTCGGGGAAGAAGGAACGTATTGTATACGTACGCACGTACATACGTCAGAGAAAGAGAGAGAGAGAGAAAGAAAGAGACGTAGACGAAGACGAGGAGTGTACGATGTTTTTGTCGAATTAAACCGTATGTATTATGTATACATGTGTGTAGAGGTTGCGGCCGGTCCACCTCCACCTCCTCCTCTTGACGTGTTTTTTCTCCTCTTTTTTCTGTGTCTTTAATTCCTCCGGAGTACTGCGCATCGCGCAGTTGCGGTGCTGCTTTACAGGACGTACACGCTAAAACGCTAGACGTTGCACGCGCGCAGTTGCAGTTGCAGCCGAGTTGCAGAGCCGTCCGCAAGGTTTACGTCGACGTTCTAGAGGCACCCGTCATCGTCGTCGTCGTCGTTGCTGATCAGATGGTACAACGCAATTTGCGCCCACGTTTTTCCGCGCCGTCCTGTCAAAAGACCACCGTCCACGCGTTATCCTATACGCGACGTGTTCGTCGTCGTCGTCGTCGTCTGGGTTGCACTTGGTCGGAGCAGTGAGAAACGCGACGACGAAGAAGCGAATTCGACGCTCTCGAAGAGGAAGAAGTGCTTCAGCGAGTGTCGGAAAAATAATAGGCGATGTCGCGCTTTATTTATGTGCTCTAATTGTCCTCTGTGCATGAATTATTGCGATGGACTGATACATTTGTCGTGCAAACCATCGTTCCCAAACAAGGTGAGTTTCTACACTACGTAACAGTTGTATAATGAATGAGAAGTGAATGTAAATATACACTTTGCGCAGCTTCTCTTCTGTGTTTATACATCATTTAAATATCGTTTCTCTTTATTACTATGTGCTCATATTTGTGATATGTCTATCTAGTTAATATATATATATATATATATATTTATATATATTTATAATTGATTGATTGTGCATATTCATTAAATTTAATAAAGTTTAATCAAGTAGATATATAAAGTTCTATATAAATTATATATACAAAAAGTTGCTCAAATGTTTTATATTGAAATTTATGTTCTCTGGCTTGTCGATCCTAGATTCACAATGAGTTCGCAACCAATTGTTGTACCTGGTGGAGAACATCAGCGTTTACAAGCAGAAACTCATTCTGTACCTCTTGGAAGTTCAGTGGATGCCTTTAAGACGATGACACCGCCAAATGTCAGCAGATCTCTTAGTCGTAAGTACATTATGATATAGCAATATTGTTTTAACATTTTCATATTTTGTTAGGAATATATTGAATATGCTATAATGTAGATAAGTTTATCATAAGGTTATTATCATTATAAAATACTTTATGATAACATTAATTATATTTATATATCTGTTTGTGACAATATGTACAAAGCAATTAATAAGCAATTAAGCACAGTAAAAATGTCAATTTAAAAACTATTTTTAACTGTGTATAACAATTGTATTTGCAAATATGTAAAAGTATATATATTTTAGAAAAAGACATTGCAATATTTGTGAACTTACTAAAATTAAAATTTGTCATTGACATTTGAACTGATGTAAATTAAAAATATAGATGTCATTGTAGCATGTCTCTGCAAAACTGTGCTCTATTATTAAAGTGTTGTAAGACTTACTAGAGTTTATGTAATGCTGTCACAAATTATATACAATTTTTATGTTTATATAATATGAACACTTGTACAAACCACAAAGTTTATGTATGTGTAGTCTGTTCTCTATGGATGCATGGGTGTTTCCTTTAAAAATCAATTTATTTTTAAGTCAAATAAATTTCACAAGATGCGATGAATAATTCCACAATAAGTTACACCTTTTAAAATAATTTTAATTTAAAAATTGAAAAGTTATGAGAATATATTAATTCGAGATAAAAATATTATATAATATATTATATTAATATATTAATAGCATACATACTCTGTATTGTTCTGTATTGTTTGCATAGCTCTTTGATCTGTGACACATCTTATGTATAAAACTAGTTATTATAAACTTGTCAATGAGGATACGTTATGGCAGCTCATTAATATGAATGAAATACATACTGTAGCAAGTCTAACTGTTGGTAAAATGGAAATCAATACTCTTGAGAGTCTAACAAACTGTTCTCATATTGTAGTAGGAATCCATAGTACTATAAGCACCGTAGTTTGTTGTAGCATAATAACTTTATGCTTTATGACCCACTTTCCATTTTTCTTTTAATATACAATGAAGACAATATATACACTTTTAGAGACAGGCTAAGAATTCTTACAGATAACATTAAAGATTAACTTAAACTAATTTATTATTTTATATAACATTCTTCATGATAAGTCTCTTATGATTTAAACATATACATTATTTCATATACAAAAGACGATACATATATGTATGTATAAAACTAGATAATAAACTCGATAATAAACACAATAGAAAAACAATGTCTTTAATTCAAACAACTTAATACAGATATTTGTATATAGAATGTTTTTTGGAAGGTTTGCATTGAGATAACATTCCTTGAAATACTTATAACAATATGAGTTGGTGTATTACTATCTAGACTATGTTAATGTATTTTGAATATGTTAATTTAATTCTTATTTTAATTATATTTATAATATGTAACTTGCATTTCTTGTAAAATGAACTGCATGTAACTATTTAAAGCATGCTTCATTGTGCATGTATGATTCAAGCATGCGAGATATTTTTCTTCTTTTTATAGCAAAGTATGTTGACAATATCTTTCTTAAAATTTATTTGTAAACAATTACATATTTTTGAACAACTTTTTAGCAACTTTTATCTTGTCTCATTGCAGAAAGTAATAATATTGTAATATTTTTCTGTTATATTATATGTTAATACTTGTTTGTAATGTAGCAAATATAAATCTGACTATTACATATATATCAAATAAGTCAGTCATTGATTGATCAATCAGTTGTTTGAAACGTTTTCTGTTTCTACTATGATATAAAATGTTAAACATTGTGAGTGCAACTGAATGAATGCTAAATATATAGAACCAGCGGATCGACAACATCGACGAAGCAGCGTTCAAGTTCAAGCACAATCTACACCAATACCTAAACTTCCATCAACTGAGTCCCTTTCAACAAGCGTAAATATTACAACCGGTGCACCTCCAGTTTCTCCAGGTATAAACCTAGAAATATTTTCGAAAGTAATACATCATTTTATTTATAATCTGGGATAATTGAACGGATTTCGGCAGCTTCCAAAACTTTTGTTGGCATTGCTTTTATTTCTGCAGTATATTAGAAACACATATGTGCTAAAAAAAAATTTGAAACCATGTGTGGCTTTTACAAAGCATTTTTTTCTAAACATATGTTACATTTTATTTTATGTGCAATTTTATTTTATAAGCTTTAAGCTCTTTATATAACAATATTATTTAATGCTTGTTATATTTTAACGCTTTCCGCACTTTACACTTGCTTTCTTCACAAAATAAGCTTGCATAAAATCTTTATTTAATTATTATTGATATAAAAAAAAGTATACATGGGGTGTATATACATGTAAATATGTATATATAGACCTTATTTATGTAATTTTTAGTATAATAAATGCGTCTCATTTGTATTTGTATGAGCTATTTTATGAGGTTTGCATTTTTTTATGAATCAAATACCTAAACTTATAATTTCCTCTTAAAAATTTATTGCATGCTCTCTTTTTGCAAATATTTGTATTTTTAATATTAAATATTTTTTGTGTATATTAAATTCCTTCAAGCATGTGATTTTATTGCAATAAAATCTAATTGGCTCATATCTCTGATAATAATGCACCAAGGAAGAATTGGAAAAATAAAAATTCGAAATAAAATTTATATTAAAATGTATTTTTAAGATTTGATGCAAATCTTGCAAAAAGCATTTTACATATTATGCATATATTAATATAATATTAAAAATAATATTTAAAATAGTATTAATTTTTTAATAATCTAATTTTTATATTGTATATATATAATTAAAAATGCGTTAGTAAATTAATATATATTTGTATACAAAAATAGATAATTTATAGTATAACTCTCATTTGTGTGATATACCTATATAATACAAATCAAGATAAGTTTTATTATTATCTGTTTATGTTGAAAATTATCATTTTTACTTTTATATATTTTCTGTAAGATATTTATTTTATGAATCTTAGTTTACTTCAGACATGAAGCATATATAAAAAGAATATTGATTTTGGCTATATTTACTAATTGAAGCATACATTGAATAAGCTAAATATTAATTAAAATGTATGACACATACAAATCAGGACGAAAGAATGATTATCTTGATTTGTTTAATTAAAATACGAAAAGTATATATAATATCTGTGTTACTTTATACTATTCTGATTGGATGAATGTGTGAGTAGGCGATTCAATGTATATAAGATTAAAATGAGAAATGATATTATGTATCTTTCTACCGTTTACATCTTTTTATTATAGTGTGGTATTTTTTTTATTTTTAGAGTGTGTAAAACATGCATTATTTCTTTCTAAAAATATAAAACTTTGTTCTATTTCATTAAGTTTAATTTTATAAAAATTTACATATCTTAATAATTTATAAGAAAATTGTATATAAATTTATATAAAACATAAAGGATATATATAAATAATATATAAATATATAATTTTTTATACATATATACAAGGTATGCAAAATTAATAACATATTAAACTCTTAATTAGATAATTTATTGGGCGTAAGAAACATGTATTTAAAAATAGTAATAACTTATATTGAAGAAATTTGTGTTAAATACATTAAAATTTTAATTATAAATCCTATACATATACTAAAAGACATACTATATACATATTTTAAATTCTAATGGTATATAATTTTTCCAGTTTTGTTTACCATCTGATCATTATTATATAAAATAAATTTTACTAACAAGTAATGCAATATTACACATGTTATAGGACTTTCTGGAATGGGTGAAGGTCAAAAGTCGACAATTCTTCAGATAAGGTAATTTCCTATTTTAGACGCAACTAATTATCACAGAAAACTTTTCTAATTAGCACGTTTAATAGTGAAATATAAGCATATACATAGCTTTTTCAAGAGATATAATTAAAAATATACATTTTGCATTTTTATTATTTTAAATATAAAATATAAACTATTTTTAATTTAAATAATATGTAAAACTTTTTGATAATGTTTTCAGTCGTTGGATTCCTGCAAATTAACACGAAAAGAATCGTATAAGGCCCAAAGAAAGAATTATCGGATGGAGAAGAAAAGAGTGGCCAACGAACTTTTAAGCTCTTTTAAAGACCCGACTGTTATTGTTATGAGTGATTGGCTAAAAGTTCGCGGTACATTGAAAAGTTGGACCAAATTGTGGTGTATTCTGAAACCTGGATTATTGCTGTTGTACAAAAGTCCAAAAACAAAGGTTTTTGTTTACATTTTTCTTCAATTATGCCATATTTATTTTCTTTTTATAACTACTTCTTATATCTTTATTACAGAGTAACCATTGGGTGGGAACTGTATTACTTAATACATGTCAAGTCATAGAACGCCCGAGTAAGAAAGATGGATTTTGTTTTAAATTATTTCATCCCTTAGAACAGTCTATATGGGCTCCTCGAGGACCAGAAAAAGAAGCTATTGGTATGTTATCATATTTTAATTATTAATATGTTACGAATAAAATTATTTTTATGCGTTTCTGCTAAATTAAATATGAATCTATGTTTTTAAAAATAATAATTCGATTTTTATGCAATATATTAATAAAATATATATTTAAGTTATTATAATATTATATATATATTTCATGTAACTAGATATGTTAAGAAAATAATTTTAGCCTTATAATTAACAAGTTAATATTTCCTAGGTGCCGTTGTACAACCTTTACCAACGTCTTACTTAATCTTCCGAGCACCGTCCCAAGCAGCGGGCAAATGTTGGTTAGATGCACTTGAATTATCGTTACGTTGTTCTTCATTAATAGTGCGCTCAACAAGCGCACTACCACGTCCTTTACCACACGATATACCACACGATACAACGACTACACATGAAACCCAGTGGAGCGAAGCTGATTATGAAAACACTTTGATGATCATGGTTAGTATCATTGACAAAGCTTTGTATTAGCGATATTTAAGTATAATGGAATATGTTACATTTAAGATAAAATTTTCATAAAATGAAATATCCAGCAATACATGTACAGGATATTCTAGATTTTTATGTATATATATATTTTTGTACATAGATTAATTAATTTGAGAAATTATTTCATAGAAAAAAATGTTTATTAAATGTGTTTGTATTTTCTATTTTTATTAAAGTAAAGTCTGTTTCAAATTTTAACTTTGAGAGAATAGAGAACATATATATTAATGTATATTAAGATTTTGTCAAAGTTACATTTTAGTGTAGATCATTACTATATAAAATTTCATTTATTATAATTAAAATCTGATCTTATGAATAATATATTTTCATTATTAAATAGCATTATTAACATTCAACATAGGGCATGTTCCGATATACACTGCCAGTACTGAAAAGTTATAGTTTATCTTATGTATATAGTATATTATATATTTTCAGCACTGGTAGTAATAAAAATAATTGGAACATGCCCATATAATATACATTAATTATATGTTAAAACAAAACAAAAGCAGGACAGCAATTGAGGTTTTTGATGGAACAGTATAAATAGAGAATTGAAATCATGAGAAGATGTCTTTGAATTAGAAAAGTATATTGTATAAGTACAATCTGTAAATGATGCATGGTGATTTGTCAATTTGCAATACTATTGATAAAAGTAATTGGTTTTAGATTGCTTATTTTTTTATAAGTTTTGCATAACCAAACAAAAGTTGCAATGAAAATTTTAATAATATATAGTAATTTATACAGATTCACGTGTAATACAAATATGATTTCAAATATTTTTTATTAATGTAAATAGTTAATAAGAAAGATATGTCACATTTTTCATTGCTGTAGTATTACATGATCTTATTATTTATATACAATGGCTTTAAAGTTTAACTTATAGTCAAAACTATTTTTATTACATAAAATAAAAAATAAGATTTTGTTATCTATTTTCATCTTTTAATTGCAGAAGATTATTTTTTAATTGCTTAAATTTAAAAACTATTGGTATCAACAAAAGTAGTATGCAAATTATTAAAAAAATTGTTATTAAAATTTGACAAGTTTATACTGGATATACATTTAGTGCAAAAATACATTGCATGTGTTTCTTTCTAGAAAACATTTAAATCTTGGTTTACAAAGATTAGTATGTGAAATTAATATTTTAAGTAATTAAGTTTATAAAAATGATATAAATAATGATTGTTTACTATTATACTTTTCCCTTTTATTTGTTATCCAATACCTTACCTTGCTTTTTGCGCCAGTAGTATATTTAAAACGTTATGCCCCGCGTACGCCTACAACACCTCAAAGGCGCTTGTTATCGTGTCCGCAGCCACTTTCTCCTGCTATAATTCGTGATCCTAGGAGCGTTTGTCCCTCACCAACTCCAATGTTCCAACAGCTTTATCATGCGGTCGCTTATTGGGAGAAACAGTTACTTGAACGATCTCCGATACATGGCACAGATCAAGAAAACGTTGTGTCTTTGATATCCAATGAAGAACCAGATAACAGTGATAATCAGTCGTCTGGTTCTTCACAGTTTCCTGTTTCCGCGCCAAACCTACCTATTTCCTCAGCACGTCACATGACTGTTCCTTCTGTATATGTCTTAGAGTACGATACCCGTCAAGTAGTAACGCTAGATCCTGTGTACATCTCGCATACAGACCTGGACGATATTAGTCAGCCCGAAAATGGAGTAGCAGCTGATGCTGAAATCAGTGCTTCGGATAGCGAGTCTGAGACATCAGCCAAGGAAGATCAATCATCAGAACCAATCACTGAAACACCATACGTTTCGAATGAAAACGAAGTTCTTGGAACAGTAAGTATTCAATTGCAATATAATTTTTAATTAGAACATAAACATATCACGTTGGAAAATAATGAGATACTTATAATTTATTGCATTTTGTGTGATCAAAATTTCTCGATTTATTTTGATTTCATCATAAATGTATTTTATATATTTTGTATCTACCTCTATATTATATTATTATTATTAGGCCGGTGAAGTCGTCACGGAACTGCAAGAAGAACAAAAGTCTTTGATATGGTTCTTGATGAAGCAAGTTCGTCCTGGCATGGATCTGTCTAAAGTTGTATTGCCAACTTTTATTTTGGAACCACGTTCATTTCTGGAAAAACTAGCCGATTCTTATTATCATGCTGATTTATTGTCTCAGTAAGATATAGTATAATATATTTATATTGTGATTTATTTATAGATCGCATATAAGAAATTTTCTTTATTGTTTTTTACAGAGCAGTACTGGAAGATGATGCATTTACGCGTATGAAGGCTGTAGTAAAATGGTACTTATCGGGATTTTATAAGAAACCGCAAGGCCTGAAAAAGCCATACAATCCGCTTTTAGGCGAAACATTTCGCTGTTATTGGCAACATCCTAATGGTTCAAGAACATTCTACTTAGCTGAACAAGTAACAATTCGAAAAATATTTATTTATTAACGATATTGAAGTCTCTATATTATCAAAATGTCACCGAATCAATTTACTTTAATTTTAATGACGAATTTCTTTTATTAAGCCAGAATCTACATACAATTTATTTCTTTTGTATAGATATATTGTGTTATGTTCTACCTTAATGTATGTGTCTAAATGTCTTCCTAGTTATCACATCATCCACCTATCTCAGGATTCTATGTAACAAATCGCCAAGATGGATTTACTATTAGCGCTACAATTATTGCAAAGTCTAAATTTTATGGCAAGTATTTCTTTGCTATTTAATATAGAATGACATAGGCTCTGTACTAATATCTTTTTAATATAATGATATAACTTATAGCACAATTTCTTTTTTACAGGAAATTCAACTTCTGCAGTTTTAGATGGTGTTGCTGTATTAACAATGCTACCAAGAGGTGAAGATTATACAATGACAATTCCTTATGCACATTGTAAAGGTATTCTTATGGGAACATTGTCTATGGAACTTGGTGGAAAAGTAAACATAATATGCGAGAAAACCGGTTATCATACCGAATTAGAATTTAAACTCAAGGTAACAATATTCTATTTCTTTTTAATAAAATTATATAATTTAATTTAAAAAAATATATATATAATAAAAAATGTTATTGACAATATATAACAATTCAAAATATTTAATTTATATTTTTAGCCATTCCTCGGTGGTGCAGAATTAATGAATCAAGTTGTAGGACGAATACGTCTGGGGAAAGAAACTCTAACTACTATATCGGGATATTGGGATGGACTAATTTTAATAACAGACAAGCGAACAGGAGTAAGTTCAATCTTAATTGATAATTTCTTTGCTAATTATTAATATATATCTTTATTTTACAGCAAGAAAGTGTATTCTTTAATCCAACTCCAGAAATACGTAAGAACAGGTTAAAGAAGTTTACTGTTCCTTTGGAATATCAGGGGCAATGGGAAAGTGAAAAATTGTGGTATGCTGTTACACAAGCCATTAATAGTGACGATCAACTCGCTGCTACCGAGGCTAAAACTCAACTCGAAGAAGCACAAAGGGAACGTGCTAAAGAACGGAAAAGTCTCGCGCAAGAATGGATTCCAAAATATTTTGTTCAAGTATATGGCTTTTATATTGTATATATTTATTGATATGATTTATGATTTGTAAATTAATATAATTTCTATTATTTAGGATATTATAACGGGAAATTGGGTCTATCGGCATGCTGATGTAAGACCATGGGATCCAAGAAATGATGTAGTACAATATGAAGAAAATTATGTAGTACGCACAAAAACTAGACATAAAACACCTATTATGCGTACTGGCAGTATTGTGTCTACTGATCCACAATCACAGGTACAGCGATGTAAGATCTAATTTGCATGCCGTTTTAACATCTATATATATAAATAACATTACTTTTAACTGCTTTGTGTATCTATTTTCCTCTTTTTCGACAGTGCTAATAAGCAGTCACATACAATTATACTTGCCTTATTTTATTTACTATTAATGGATTTGAATAGATTGTATACATTTTTGATATTTGTAATAAATCTATTTTTCTCGACTTGCAATTTATTAATCTAATTTTTATTGTATGTATTAATTTAACATAGCTTCTCTGTAGAGTGATATATTTCTTTAGTCTTAGTACTACATTATAAGTTTTAACAAATTACACAAGTTAGAAAAATTTGAAATTATATTCAAGTAAGTTTTAAATGTGTGTGTACACACATTCTAAAAAATTTCACATAGATTTATATAATAGTTTATAATTTTCTGTATAATTTTAAATGTCTTGTACATATTATCATCTTTTCTGAAACAGCAGTTTATATATAAGACATATGTTGCTTTTATTAGAAAAGAAATATAACATAAAGGATTGCATCGAGATCCTAATAATCTTGCTTGTTCTTTTTATACAATTTTTAATATTTCTTATAAAATCTTCGTCTTTTTTTAAAATCAACATTACAATATTCTTTATTTTCTTATAGTATTATTTGTTATTGAATTATATCATTGTATTGTTATTTACATATTAATCAACTATGTACACATATATTTCTTCAATATTTAACTAGAAATTATTTGTTTAACTTAAATATTGAACAACTAATCAGAGCAAAAAGAACACGAGATATATAGTTTTAAAGAAAATTATTTAATAATTTCAAGATCTAAAGAAGATTATTCTCATTAATCTTTCACATATTATTGTTATTTATTAAACTTCTTAAAAAATGTATTATTTATTATTCATGCATTTATTATAAACTTGTTAATAATTAATTTAAATTTTATGTAAATAATAATTGCAGATTCCATTACTACAAGCTGAGTCACGTTCATCCTTATCAGTACTCAAATCTTCAAAGAGGCAGTTGTCTAATAATATGCCTATGTCAGAGACAGCTCATGATTCTGGGAGCTCGTCTGCAGAGGCGCATACTGATTCTAGTCAATCATTAGGAAAAAGAAGACGTTCGACTGCTAGGTAAGATTATTTAGATATAATAAAAAATATACATTTAAAGTAATGCATACACAATTTTTATACATAGAACGCAGTTTCTTATAATACAAGCTCATACATATATAAATATACAAAAGCTTATATATATATTCTTTTTAGAATAATAGTCATAATGAAAGAAGTAGAGAGTCAAATGTTGGAACATGGCGAAAAACTAAATCGTATACAGCATATTGTAGAACAAGTTTGCAAGAAACAAAGAGAGTCTGCTGAACAGCATCACAACATAAGTATGTTTAAGAGCTTCGTGGATACTATACTTATTGTTATTATCGTTTTCTCAGTGCAATACTTTCTAAGTGCATGGAGCAACAATCCTATGAAAGGTTGAAAATTTTAGTAACGTTATTTTGTTACTTGTCACTTGAATTATGCGTATCAATTTTTGTCCTAAAATTCTCACAGAGTGGTGTTGGTATCTATTTCATGATCATGGTGAGACAAATTGTGTTGGGAGAAATATAATTATAATTTTTATTTTAAAACAATATTTGTGGAACACTTATCTATGTAGAAATAAAATATTATTAGAAAATATAAGAATCCACGCAATGTAGATTCAGTGCAATGGTATTTTGTCATAGTTGCAAAAATACAAAATGTCAAATACAGGAGCTAACAGTCTATATGAGCTTATATTGTATATAGGGCTTAATTAATGTGAGAAGATATTGTTCTCGAATTACTAATCTAATTTTTATTGCAACCCGCCAGTACCAAATTGTAATATAATCGTATGATTGTTGTACAAAAATGTTCCGTCGTCACTTTTATAGTTAATTTATTATAAATTTATTATATTTAATTATGTATTAATATATAATATAATAGCACATATTGTAATTTGATTTCAGTGTGATATCATGTTACAATAATGTTTTATATTAAATCGTTATATGTTTTACGTCAATTGATAAACTCTGTTATTGATATATTGATTAACTTGCGTTATAATAGAGGACATCAAATATTCTATGTGCTTACAGATTGATAAAAATTTTTCTTGAAAACTCCGGTAGAAAGAGCTTATGATATTATTTTATTTATCCCTAAGCTTATTCATGTGATATCTCAACGATAGCAATAGTTCAAATTTGTCTATAAAAGAATCTATGCAATTCGTTTGATATTACATTCGATATAATAATCCATAATTTTTTTCAATTAGTTCGAGGATATTTATGTAATTTTTGGAAATTTTAAATTCAATAAAATAATATAATTTAACAAACTGTTCTCTATGAACATGTATGTGACCCCAATTATATATTAGATAGAAATGGATTTCCTTAATTGCCAAAAATTACAAATAATTTAGGAAATATATGATATAAGAAAGTATCTGTGTATTTCATATCACATATATATGTATATATACAGTATATATATTTGTGAAAGTGACAAGTGATTTTTTAATATGTTATAATAATTCATAAAACATTAATATTTCTTAATTGTGTGTTAAAAATAATTTTTGTCATTATTTATAATGCACAATTTTTTATTATCATGGTGATATTTTTATATAATGAAGATTGAATCAAAAATTTTTTTCTTAATGTATATATATTTTATTTTATTAAGATATCAATTGTTAATCATGTACATAGAAGAAAATAAGTGTACGTATGCTTGTGTACATCTTTAACTATAGTTCTATAGTCAAAAATGTACACACACGCACACATATATATAAACTAAAAACGTGATTTTAAATTTTATGAAAATATTGTTTGAGCAGCATATTAATTACAATTTGTTACAATGAATTACTGATTATATTTTAACATAATTTGATAAGAAAATTTTAAGAATGTTATATGTATTATTTATTATATTAAATAATATAAATCAAAGAAATGAACTTTTAGAATTATTCTTTGTACATTTTAAAAACTAAAATTGTTAACAAATTATGCATATATTTTGTAGTGTTATTAATTACTAATTTATTTTTGAGTGTGTTACATTTTTTGAAAAAAATGTGAAAATATTTATTACAAAGTGATAACATCTAGGCATAGTTTTTATATTAATAAGTTTTATATAAATTACTTACTATTTTATTAATTATTATATTTTTCTTTAAAAATTTGCTCCTGCTTAAGTTTGTTTTATTACCTAATTAAATATTACTTATATTTCAAATAGTAAATGAAAGAATTTATAAGCTTTGTCTTTTATTTTTTTCGAGAATCTCGATTTTGATCAAAACTAAAATAAATATATTCACGATTATATAATAATTTTTAAATGTCTATAGTCTATAACATATTTATGTGCTTTAATAAATTATTATGTCTAATTAACTAATTAGTTTGGAAATTGTCATTTTTAAAATGATATGTTTTTACTAATATCAATATTTCTAATGATGGTGATGATTCATCAGATATACATTTAGATAAATTGTCAAATTCGAATATTACAAAACTATTCTTTAAATTAATATACATTAACAAATCTAAGTAGTTTCTTCAAAAAATTTTGAAAGTAAATTTTAATATGTAATTGTGCAATGTTAATATAATCTTTATATATATATATTTTTTAATCATATATGATAGAAGTAGATATATATGAATCATTTGACATTTTATTTGAATAAATGTGTATAAGATTTTCGAAATAATTAAATAATGTGCCAATCCCTTATTCTTAAGAAATATAGTTATATTTTGTATTCAGATGGAAAAAGAGAAAATCTCTGTAACGCCACAGATGTTACGTACAGCTGTAAAAGAGTTGCAAAAACGTGAATTATTTGTTAAATTAAAGAGTTTAAAAACTCATATACAAAGACACTATCCAGTTGAAAGAGATTTCAAAGTTCTTGAAAAAGAATTACAGGAAAAACTGGAATATGCTGTTTATGTTGGACTCCTCGCCAAACACGGAGACGACCAATATTTCATACCTACTTTACGACAGGAAGCAAACACCGTTAAAACAGCAATCAGCGCATTTTGGAAAATGTATAAAAATGTAAAATATCCACATCTTAAATATTTGTTTAATTTTATACTAATTTTTGTATTACACAACAAAAATCTTTTTTGTTGCTATTTATTTAGAATAATCGATTACGTAATGTCAGAAAGAAGAAGGCTGATGTTAAACGATCAGTATCACGTCGAAAACAAAAAGATCATATGAGTTCTTCTAATACTGATGAAACCGGTAGCAGTGAGGATTTAGATTATTTCTAATTGTAATAAAATGTGAAAATTAAATGTAGATGTTAAATGATTTTATACTACACCAGAGAGGAACTTTTTAATACATATATGTATACATATATATGTTTATGTATTTTAATACATAAAATTTTTTTATTCTATCAGAAACTTTATAAAATATATGTAAATTTGTTTACTTATAAAATGTTATATATTTTGTAGATATTTACAATTGTTATATAATAGTAGATATTTATAATTATCATTACAGATACAACTTGATTGTATACAAAAGAAAGTTTAATCTTGTGTCGCACTAAGAATAGAGAAAGAATTATTTACATCATAAAAAGTTTCTTGGCTGGTACTTTCACATGCCTTTATAGCTTCTGTCTCATGATCTTCCTGTGTAGGAGATTCCTTTTTTTCGCATCTTTTTGTTTTTTGCTTTTTACATTTACTGGCTTCTTTTTCCAATGCTGTGTAAAACAGAGGTCTGATTTTTAATAAGAGTATATTAAACAGATGCAATAAACTCGGAGAATTTTGCAAAATTGAATTAATATAAACTTCAACATCGTCGCGTCTTTTAAAATTGCTACATAGATTATACAGTAATGTACCATTAAACAACTTAGCAACTTTGGTTTGTTCATATGGATATCCTAATAATGCATTTAAGTTCATACTGTGCCTTAAACAATTCTGAAATTCTGCAAAACCATGAACAATTGTAATATTGAATCGTTTTGGTTGTGAATACAGTTTTTGATCAATTTCGAAATTAGATATAAAAAACGGAACTGCAAACAAACAGTCATCTGGATTAACTTCGTGAAATGCATTTACTAGTGTAGTCTCGATTGAATAATGTGGCTGATAATTTCTTCTTTTTCTTTCATATTTAATATTTTCCACAGTTTTATTAAATCTATGGGAAAATCTATTTAGATTTCTATACGAGCCTATTTTGCGATCGATTATATTAAATAACATAGCGAGTAATAAGGAATATATATGACAATTAAATTTAAATGATTCTTGTTGTTGAACTAGCCAATATTTTATGGTGGCGATATATAACGTCCAATTTGATGGAATCCCCATACAATTTTCATCAGTAATTCCTAAAGTGGTATTTAATATTCCTCTCCTGGTAACAATTGGTAATTCTCTCAAATTAAACAAAGATGGTAATGTACAACCTAATATATTGTCATTATACTCTAACTGATAGCGCTTTATTTTCTTATTCTCATCTCTGGTCATATATTCCATGCAGGTCTTTCTTCCTTCAATTGCCGATATCAATAATCCATAAATAACATTTATAATTTTTAAACTTACAACGACAGATGAGACACATAAACTGTTTTCGATTTGCGTGGGACAAACGTATAATTTCCGAATTATTAAGTCTATGAAATAAGAAGGAAATTTGCCCAGTTTAAATTCATCAATAAACCACTGAGGTAAATTGTTGACTAGCGATTCATTAGAAATCACTTCTTTCTCTTCAAGTATGGATGTTATTTCTTTTTCGTCTGTATCGTTGTCGTCATCACTTATATTACCTTCATTCGATTTTTCTTCAATATATGTCAGATTGTATATATCACCTTCAAATTTATACGTTCTAGATGCATCTTGTACTCTTGTTCTTGAAAAATGCTCTGCAGGAACATCTAGTATATGTAACACGCTCAGTGAAGCATTGATATAACCATTTATTATGATTTCTATTATATTTAATATGTGTTTACGTTGCCGTTTTTGTAATCTACTTAATATTCCTATTACAGCTTGATTTAAGCTGTGTCTTCGCAACCAATTAAATGTGGCATCTATACGTCGTTGTTGCTCATTAAACTTTTTTCTTCCTGTTCGTGGTAATTTCAAATGACGAAAAAAGTTTCTAAACGTATGCTGTTTCACATAGTCATTTCCCAATAATATTGCTGCAAGAGGCAATAAAGATTGATTCAATCCATTGTAAGCTCGAAAAAGTTTTTCAACATAATAAATCTTGCAAAGTTTCATGTAGCCATGACCTGTCGGATTACGAACTACATTATTTCCCCATGTACTGAATGGTATATACAATGATCCATAAATATAGAAGTCAGAGTCATAACTTAACACAGGACAGTTGAGAATACGTGCTATTGCAGCTATGGTATTATCTGCTTCAAAGACACATTGCGTGTATCTGACGCCTTTCTCTTTCATGACATCTTTGAAGACTTCTTTTATAAGTAAAGGAAAGAATTTGCTTCTATGTTGAGAGGATGGTGTGTAATGCGATGCTAATCCAATTTTTTCATTGGTTCGGGATATGATAGTCTTCAACTTCTTGTCTTCGCATCCGCCATCGATTATGACCAAAGGAGTGACATTGCACATGAAGAGTTCATTAAAAAAATCTCCTACACATTGCGCATACTTGTCATAATCACCACCAAAGGCGCAGTTACATCTTGCATACCAATTGTATAATTGACATCCTAAACTATTGCCATCAATCACCAAATATGTATCGTGTAGAGCATAATTTTCAAGATAATGCTCAGAATGATTGGATATGAACGTTGTTAATCCAGGAATCCCCATTTTTAAAATTTATTCTAAAGCTCTATTTATGGGAATTTTATTAACATACGATGTATTGATCACGTTGAATTGTCTGCAAAAAAATATTACACATTGATATTATTCGTATTTATAATAATTGTTTTATTTCTTCAAATTCTTTTTTCTTTAATTTTACTTATGTATAAAGATATTTGTTGTGACTGAATCTAACCTGAAGAAATATTTTTTTGGTATTTTCTCTGTCAAACTTATTATATCTTAGCAATTATTATATATGATACGTAAAAATACTTTTCCCAATTACTTTTCTTTATCATTTATATTATTTTTGTACATAATAACGTGCAACATGTTGAATAAACACTCTAGTATCTGCTAGTATGTGTAAACATTCATCCAGACGCCATAATAGATTAGCGATTAGCCACAATGGCTCCTAACAAAACATCAAAATAATGCCTACGAAAAATTAAAAAAATGTATTGAATAAAACATCTAACAATAAAAACATGTATAATAAAAAGTTCATATATATATATATATATATATATATATATATAATTATAATTTGATAATTTAGTAGGAAAGGACATAAGTATATAATTTGATAGGAATGAAGGGGAGTCAAATAAATATATATGATTGTATATATCGGAAAGTTAAAAATATATATATTACTTTAAACAAATTTTGAATGTAGAATATATTCTTTGTTATACCAATTGTATTGTATCTTCATATTAATTACAAATGTGCTGAAAAGAAAGAAAAGTTATGTAAAAATTATTTTATATAATTAAATTTTCGAAAAATGTTTATTATAAGTTATTAATTGAAAGTTATTTAGTTTAGAAACTTTTGATATTTATTGTTTCAATAAAAAATATGTATGAAAACTGTAAAAATTACGTAATGTCAGAAAGAAAAAGGCTGATGTTAAACGATCAGTATCACGTCGAAAACAAAAAGACCATATGAGTTCTTCTAATACTGATGAAACCTGTATCAGTGAGGATTTAGATTATTTCTAATTGTAATAAAATGTGAAAATTAAATGTAGATGTTAAATGATTTTATACTACACCAGAGAGGAACTTTTTAATACATATATGTATAAATATATGTTTATGTATTTTAATACATAAAATTTTTTTATTCAAAAACTTTATAAAATATATGTAAATTTGTTTACTTATAAAACGTTATATATTTTATAGATATTTATAATTATCACAGATACAACTTGATCATATACAAAAGAAAGTTTAATCTTGTGTCGCACTAAGAATAGAGAAAGAATTATTTACACCATAAAAAGTTTCTTGGCTGGTACTTTCACATGCCTTTATAGCTTCTGTCTCATGATCTTCCTGTGTAGGAGATTCCTTTTTTTCGCATCTTTTTGTTTTTTACTTTTTACATTTACTGGCTTCTTTTTCCAATGCTGTGTAAAACAGAGGTCTGATTTTTAATAAGAGTATATTAAACAGATGCAATAAACTCGGAGAATTTTGCAAAATTAAATTGATATAAACTTCAACATCGTCGTGTTTTTTAAAATTGCTACATAGATTATACAGTAATGTACCATTAAACAACTTAGCAACTTTGGTTTGTTCATATGGATATCCTAATAATGCATTTAAGTTCATACTGTGCTTTAAACAATTCTGAAATTCTGCAAAACCATGAACAATTGTAATATTAAATCGTTTTGGTTGTGAATACAGTTTTTGATCAATTTCGAAATTAGATATAAAAAACGGAACTGCAAACAAACAGTCATCTGGATTAACTTCGTGAAATGCATTTACTAGTGTAGTCTCGATTGAATAATGTGGCTGATAATTTCTTCTTTTTCTTTCATATTTAATATTTTCCACAGTTTTATTAAATCTATGGGAAAATTCATTTAGATTTCTATACGAGCCTATTTTGCGATCGATTATATTAAATAACATAACGAGTAATAAGGAATATATATGACAATTAAATTTAAATGATTCTTGTTGTTGATCTAGCCAATATTTTATGGTGGCGATATATAACGTCCAATTTGATGGAATCCCCATACAATTTTCATCAGTAATTCCTAAAGTGGTATTTAATATTCCTCTCCTGGTAACAATTGGTAATTCTCTCAAATTAAACAAAGATGGTAATGTACAACCTAATATATTGTCATTATACTCTAACTGATAGCGCTTTATTTTCTTATTCTCATCTCTGGTCATATATTCCATGCAGGTTTTTCTTCCTTCAATTGCCGATATCAATAATCCATAAATAACATTTATAATTTTTAAACTTACAACGACAGATGAGACACATAAATTGTCTTCAATTTGCGTGGAACAAACGTATAATTTCCGAATTATTAAGTCTATGAAATAAGAAGGAAATTTGCCCAGTTTAAATTCATCAATAAACCACTGAGGTAAATTGTTGACTAGCGATTCATTAGAAATCACTTCTTTCTCTTCAAGTATGGATGTTATTTCTTTTTCGTCTGTATCGTTGTCGTTATCACTTATATTACCTTCATTCGATTTTTCTTCAATATATGTCAGATTGTATATATCACCTTCAAACTTATACGTTCTAGATGCATCTTGTATTCTTGTTCTTGAAAAATGCTCTGCAGGAACATCTAGTATATGTAACACGCTCAGTGAAGCATTGATATAACTATTTATTATGATTTCTATTATATTTAATATGTGTTTACGTTGCCCGTTTTGTAATGTACTTAATATTCCTATTACAGCTTGATTTAAGCTGCGTCTTCGCAACCAATTAAATGTGGCATCTATACGTCGTTGTTGCTCATTGAACTTTTTTCTTCCTGTTCGTGGTAATTTCAAATGACAAAAAAAGTTTTTAAACGTATGCTGTTTCACATAGTCATTTCCCAATAATATTGCTGCAAGAGGCAATAAAGATTGATTCAATCCATTGTAAGCTCGAAAAAGTTTTTCAACATAATAAATCTTGCAAAGTTTCATGTAGCCCTGACCAGTCGGATTACGAACTACATTGATTCCCCATGTACTGAATGGTATATACAATGATCCATAAATATAGAAGTCAGAGTCATAACTTAACACAGGACAGTTGAGAATACGTGCTATTGCAGCTATGGTATTATCTGCTTCAAAGACACATTGCGTGTATCTGACGCCTCTCTCTTTCATGACATCTTTGAAGACTTCTTGTATAAGTAAAGGAAAGAATTTGCTTCTATGTTGAGAGGATGGTGTGTAATGCGATGCTAATCCAATTTTTTCGTTGCTTCGGGATATGATAGTCTTTAACTTCTTGTCTTCGCATCCGCCATCGATTAAGACCAACGGAATGACATTGCACATGAAGAGTTCATTAAAAAAATCTCCTACACATTGCGCATACTTGTCATAATCACCACCAAAGGCGCAGTTACATCTTGCATGCCAATTGTATAATTGACATAGTAAACTATTGCCATCAATCACCAAATATGTATCGTGTAGAGCATAATTTTTAAGATAATGCTCAGAATGATTGGATATGAACGTTGTTAATCCAGGTATTCCCATTTTTTTAAATTTATTCTAAAGCTCTATTTATGGGAATTTTATTAACATACGATGTATTGATCACGTTGAATTGTCTGCAAAAAAATATTACACATTGATATTATTCGTATTTATAATAATTGTTTTTATTTCTTCAAATTCTTTTTTCTTTAATTTTACTTATGTATAAAGATATTTGTTGTGACTGAATCTAACCTGAAGAAATATTTTTTTGGTATTTTCTCTGTCAAACTTATTATATCTTAGCAATTATTATATATGATACGTAAAAATACTTTTCCCAATTACTTTTCTTTATCATTTATATTATTTTTGTACATAATAACGTGCAACATGTTGAATAAACACTCTAGTATGTGCTGGTATGTGTAAACATTCATCCAGACGCGATAATAGATTAGCGATTAGCCACAATGGCTCCTAACAAAACGTCAAAATAATGCCTACGAAAAATTAAAAAAATGTATTGAATAAAACATCTAACAATAAAAACATGTATAATAAAAAGTTCATATATATATATATATATATAATTATAATTTGATAATTTAGTAGGAAAGGACATAAGTATATAATTTGATAGGAATGAAGGGGAGTCAAATAAATATATATGATTGTATATATCGGAAAGTTAAAAATATATATATTACTTTAAACAAATTTTGAATGTAGAATATATTCTTTGTTATACCAATTGTATTGTATCTTCATATTAATTACAAATGTGCTGAAAAGAAAGAAAAGTTATGTAAAAATTATTTTATATAATTAAATTTTCGAAAAATGTTTATTATAAGTTATTAATTGAAAGTTATTTAGTTTAGAAATTTTTGATTTTTATAGTTTCAATAAAAAATATGTATGAAAACTGTAAAAATTGCAGTTATTAAATGTCATCAACATGATTTAGATTTAAATAAATTTTTAAAATTAATCAACAGTAATCAACAATATGTAATAAATTTTGACATAGAACTAAATTTTCAGAAGCATATTCTCTATTTTTCTAGAGTATTCAAATCATTGTGCATATTTTCTCATTCAATCCTGTATAATTTTTGATACCATGATTATTTGCAAGTGCCCGATCTCTTTCATCCCATATTGTAAGGCCATCACATGCACAAATCTTTTTCGTATTTTGAAATAATCCAGAAGATCTGGCTATAATACCACAAGCCAGCCTGTGGAAAAGAAAAAAGAAAAAAATTCAATGTAAAACAACAAAGTTATTAAAACTTTGACATAATAATATAATAATTTATTCCATAGACCTAATTCCAATAAAGTAATCAAAACTTTGACATAATAATATAAAAATTTATTCCATATACCTAATTCCACTGCTTCCATTTATTTTAGATTCTGGACCATCACCTCTTCCAAAATCATCTGGATCATTGGTGATAACAAGTGATCTACCAATGATATCAGGTATATTAATGAACTTATCTATTTTCCGAAAAGTAGCTCTGCCTGTAGTGTCTGCTAAGATATTACCAAGATCACCAATATGCTGTGATTAGAGACAATATCGTTAAATCTTTAAAATCTTATGAGATATATATTTATATAGAATCTAAATAACTTTTTAATATTTACTCTCTCAAATAGATCATTTTCAGGAGCACCATGTAGAGAATTATTTGGATTGAAGTGGTCACCTACGCTACAATAAAAGTAAAATTGGTTCAGCATGTGGAAATTTGTATTTGTAAATTGACTTACTTACCTATCACAGCCATTAGATATATCACCACATTCATGTATATGTATGCCATGTTCTCCTGGAGTTAAGCCATCAACTGTACCATCTATGATACATCCCTCTGGAGTTTGTGCAAATCTTATCACACCTTTGATCAGATTACCAACACTGTATCCCGAATTCCCACCTAGCATTGACACAGCACTTAATCCATCTGTAAAAGTTGAATACAATCAAATTTCAATAATAATAAGCAGTTACAAAAGAAAAGAGTGATTATATATACATATATAAAATACATATGAACATATATTTTATATATATGAAAATAAATTTTAAAAATGAATACTTGCAAAAAAATAAACAATCTTGAAATAAATGAGATGCAAAAAGTAATATACTTTTACAATATATAATTAAAATATATATTATCATAAAGTAGAAAAATGTTTAAACCTCCATATCCTTTCAACACTGCTTGTTTTCCAGTTTGTTCGATCCTTTCTTGTATGATAGAGTAAGATAGATCTGTTTCAACAATAACAGTACCACGTTCCAATGATATGTCAATATTTCGAATACCCTTCAGGTCTGCTATACTTTTGTGAATTGCATTAACACATTTCTCACATGTCATAGGTACTGCGAATTCGATCTGCGAAATAACCCATTATATATAAGTCTCAAATTTTACAAAATCATACTTGTTTGTAACAATGCAAAATAATTGCTTACTTTTGCCGAAGCCATTTTTATATAATTATATCAACGTGATAAAGCACAAATTTGCATGAGCCGGTTGCATCTATCGAGTTTTTTTTTTTTTTTTTTTTTTTTTTTTAATGATATTTGCTAGTTTTGAATGTTGTTTATATTATCTTTCTTGTCTTTGTATGCATCATTTTCTTCGTGAAAGAGAGAAACAGAGGCTACTTCCCTCGCAAAATGCATAAATTGCACTTGTGTCATATCGCACGTAACGTCATTAAAAAAAAAATAGTAAATGCGCAAAACATTTAAAATCAGAATCTGTTCTAAAATCGACCGTCATTATCGACCGCAACATTTTCATGCGTAATGCTCATTGGACGATTACTCATCTCTATGTAGATCGACCAATCAGGACAAAAAGAACGAAGATTCCTTCTTCCTGATTGGTTGATCAAAAATCACTTGTAGAAGTAGATTTTCGAACGCAATTCAATGCGCGCGCAATTTATAATAATTATAATAAATATTTTTTGTAAATATATATATATATATATATATATATATTTATATATATAGTATATACGTGTATGTATTTATATATATATATATATATATATATATGTTTATATATTTGACAGGAAGAAAAAGCCGCGAGTTTTGGTGTTCGCCGTGAGTGGCGTTGCTTTCCCAAGCCTTCGTTTCGGAAATGATCCTATCTCTCGTCTCTTTCTCTCCTCTCGAAATTGGATACACACACTTCGCAGAATAATTGCCAATAATTGCTGATCGTGTAAGCTATATCGCAACAGGGATACGCGTCAGAGACGAGAGCGGTTTGTGGTTAGACAACGCGCGGCTCAACCGGGTCCCGGCTGATTTCTGCGAGATCCTCCCCGAAATCCCGCGCAAATAATCCTCGCACTTTCGAGAATCGAGTCGTCGTCGCCAGAGCATGCTCCGAAAATACGACGAAAATGGACGTAACGCGCACGTGAGACATTTTTAGATGACTCTTCGCGATAGGGACCCTGAAAAAGGGAGCATCTCTTGAATCGCGTCGATCTTTCTCAGTGAAAAGACGAATCGTGAATTGCTGCGAAAATGTCTGTGACCTTCGCGCAACGCGGCAGGCCACCTCCGAATCCTGCTCAAATACAGAAGGTAAAGAACTATAGCTTTCAAAAAAATATACATGATTATGTGATTGAACTAATAAATCATATATAATTAAAAAATATAGAATTAAAAGAATGAAACACAAGGTTCGCTTTTACTGTTCTGAGAATTGTAATTGTGGATATATATATATATATATATATATATATATATATATATATATATATATACAGGGTTTGTCCGGAAAGTAATGCGTCGCATTTTTTTGTGACGCGACTATACATCGCAGAGCGATGGGACCGGTTGGGGAGGAAGGGGGGTACCCTTAGCTTTCCAACGGTAGGTCGCTCAATTGTTTCCATGCGCTTGGAGGGTTAGGACGGCTTATTCTGTGAACCTCTGCTTAGTGGTCGCGTCGAACTTGTGATGGAGAGAACGATAGAGCAACGCTATGCGATAAAGTTTTGCGTGAAGCTGGACAAGACGCCGCTGGAAACTTTTGAAATGCTCAAGAAAGTTTTCGGGGACGATTGCCTTTCCAAATCGCAGTCAAACAGATGGCACAAGATGTTTAGAGAAGGTCGGAAGGAGGTCGCCGACGAGGCCCGCGCAGGACGCCCGTCAACATCGCGAACGGACGACAATGTGACTCGTGTGCGCCAATTATTGAATTCAGACCGTCGAATGAATGTTCGCTTAATGTCGGAATTATTGAACGCATAGCGTTGCTCACGAGATTGTATCGTTCTCTCCATCACAAGTTCGACGCGACCACTAAGCAGAGGTTCACAGAATAAGCCGTCCTAACCCTCCAAGCGCATGGAAACAATTGAGCGACCTACCGTTGGAAAGCTAAGGGTACCCCCCTTCCTCCCCAACCGGTCCCATCGCTCTGCGATGTATTGTCGCGTCACAAAAAAATGCGACGCATTACTTTCCGGACAAACCCTGTATATATATACATACATACACACATATATGTATGTATATGTATGTATGTACATTTAGACATTTCTCTAGATGCTCGATGAAAACAGCCAACTTATACAAATGATTCAAGAGTATCAAAATAAGGGCAAGGCACAGGAATGTGTACAGTAAGTAATCAATGATTGTGTACAATATTTTTTAAATATATCGTAGGTTTTTTTTTAATTCTCTTAGAAAATAAATTAACATTGTCTATGAAATAATATGAAACATTAAACAAAGTTTGTACAGTCTTCTGCTGCATCCTACAAATACTGCACAAATTTTAGGAATTAAATTTAAATTCTTATCAAGATATAATGGCTTTATTATAAATCAAGATATAATTTTTTTATAATATTTAAAAGAAATGCATTCTTTTAATATTAGCAATCATTTTTAAGCTTGGGATTTATTAAACTTTATTTTCAGATATCAACAAATGTTACACCGCAACTTAGTATATTTAGCATCTATTGCAGATGTGAATCAGAATCTTCAAACTCTATTACCTGTAAGTAAATCTCAGAACAAAAAAACATACAATAGTAAAACGTTTAATTGAATAACTATAAAGTTAAAGAAAATTTGTGGACAAAAACAATTGCAGGATTTAATTAGCTTTCTTTTTGTTTCAAGCTACCTCAAGGTATTGCCAATGGTCCTCAGCATAGTATGATGAATCCGCAAGGGCTTCCAAGCCCAGGTCCAGGTGCTTCACCCGGTCCTGGAGGAGAAATGACTCCAAATACACAGCCAACTATGCCAATGTCGAGTTTTAATCAAGGACAACCAATGACACAAGGTTATCGTGGACCTGTAATGCCTGGTCAAGGACCTACTATAAATAGTATGTTACATCTGCATTTAAATCTATTAACAGAAATTTCCTTTATATTTCTAATTTAAATTTATTTCAGATTTATGATTATGTATCAATTAATCTGAAATACAATTGTAATATAATCTCTAGCATGCCAGATATTTGAAATTAAGTAATATTTCATTTCCTGATATAATAATAATTTAATTTTGTTAATAATTATAGGACCTCCAAATACACCAGGTCCACAACAATATAGAGGTCCACAAGGTTATCCTCAACAGCCTTCTCCACAAGGTTATCCTGCTCAATACGGCAGTCAGAATCCTGGCTCTAATTACCAAGGACCACAAGGATCGGCATATACTCCCGGTCAACCAAATCAGTATGGTCCACCAAACGCTTCTCAACAACAAGGATATAATGCAGCGACGCAGCCAAATTATGGTCCTCCGACTACAGTGAACAGTTACGGTCCACAACCAGGCGGTTATCCACCGCCGTCGACTCAACCACCTTCCGGATACGGACCACCGCCGCCGAATCAGCAAGGCTATCCTCCATCTAACGCTTCGCAGCAAAATTTTTCATCAGGTAGTCAACAACAACAACAACCAGGACAATATGGCAGTCCTAGTCCACAACCAAATTATCAACAGCCTCCGTCCCAAGCGCCACCTCAAAACGCATACGCCGCTGGACAACCCGGAAATTATCCCCCTCCATCCTCACAGGCATACGCGAATAATGTCCCGCCACAAAATTACCCACCGCCTCCGACAACCAGCGCGACTCAACCCCCGCAACCTGGATCTCAGCAAAACGCGGGTCCACAGCCCAACTACGTTAGCCAACCGAGCCCAGGTCCTGGCGCAACGCAGTACGGTCCCGTTTCTACATCACCGCCATTTAGTACTTCCTCCGCAAGCGGCGGTAATACTTATGCCCAGAGCAGTCAGCCGACAAGTACGCCGTCTGCTTCGACGCAGACGTATCCACCAAGTAGTGGTCCGCCACCGACATCACAGGGTGGAAACTATGCACCCCCTGTTCCACCGTCCCCTGCAGGATATCCTGTTCATCAATCACCTCATCCGACGTCGCACCCCCCGCACCCACCACCACCGCATCAATCACCTCATCAGCCACCGCACACTCCACATCAACCACCACATCAGCCATCGCATCAATCATCCCATCAACCACCCTCTCATCAATCGCCACATCAGCCACCACAACAATCTCAGCAACAGTCGCAAACAGCTCCGCAGACACAACAGCAACCGTCTCAGAGTCCAGCCCCGAGTGGATTTCAATCACCGTCCGGTCCACCACAAGGTCCAGCCCCACCACCAGGCCCTCAACAGCAGCCTGCTTATGGGCCTACTACTACGCAAACATACGTCCCACCAACACCAGGAGGGCAACCACAGGTATTGTTCATGTAACTTATTCTTATAGATACATTGAACTAAACAATTAATTTTATTATTTGTTTCACAACAGTGGTTTATTGAATAATGTATAATTTATACTCTCATATAGAATAAAAAAATATTTATATATTTATTTTTATTATTAAGTTTATAATTCAAATATTGGGTATTTATTTATATATGAAAGTTGCATAATAGAGATATATAATAGCTAACGATATATATAACGTATCTATCTGTATTATTATTTATTATATTGAAAATTGTAGATTTATAGCCCACATCCACCGCAAGGGGCACAACACTATGGACATCCACAATATCCTCCTCAAAGTTACCCTCCACCGCCAGCAGGTCAAGGGTATCCACAGTATCCTCCAAGACCACCTGGTGGACACATGCCTCCTCCACCAGGACCGCAGGGGCCACCGCCACCTAATCAGTATGGAGGTTACGGTTATCAACCACCCACACAATAAAATGCATTAATTCTTAAATTCACATAGATTTTAGATTAATGTGAATATTGAGAATATTTTTATTTGCGTTTTTGTTTACACTTTATTGTGTACGTTATAATGTACTTTATTAATGTAAATTTACAATATATTAATATAGATATATTGTGGATATCCATATTAACATGAATGCAAAGGATTCCACAAGTGATGAGATTAGAAAGAATTATATGAAGAACTTTATGATTCACAGTCTTTAATAATATATTGCATCTAACATAATAAAAAATACTTAGAACAAAATTATGTATAAATTAAAATTTGAGAGTTGCTATAATAAATATATAGTTGAACTTGAATTAAAAATTGACAATTTTCAATATTTACATACATATTTAATGTGTGATGTAATTATATATAATTTTGTTTTATATATTTATATACATATATATAATTTAATTACATAAAAAATAAATTTTTTTTTATATTGTTAAATCTTGGGTATATTAAATATTTCACATGACTTGGTGACTTTTAATCTGAAAAATACTATAATATAATATTAAATATATTTCTTAATATTTTAATTTGTTTTAATATCATCTATGTATACACACACACACAAACAATAATGTAGATATCCATCACATTCATTATTAGGCTTTTTATATATATAAATATTTTTTTTTTTACTATTTTAAATGCAGTAAAGATGATAAACCTCAAATTTTATTTTTATTACAAATATATACGTAATTTTTTATTCATATAACTAGAATATAAATATAAATTGAAAGTGAAAGAGAACTATAACGCAATGGTACAAATATACCATATGTAAGTATTTGTTCCAATTTTTGTTTGTGTGTATTGCCATTGTATAATTGATGTAATAAAATTTAATTTCATAATTGATATAATGTTAATGTAAATATGAATTTTTCAATATTACATATATATAGTTCGCAATGGAATTCGTGATATAATTTAAAAAAACGCACGACGAATTTTTGCCATACCATGTATTTATCTCATAAATATTTTTCGAGGAAGATGTTAATAATTGTACAAATAATGTGTAGCTTGTTCAAGTTCTCACGACATAATTTTAAATTAAATAAAAATATTAAATAATATAAAAATAATTGACAGGTTGTGTGCATGTGTGTACAAGAAAACGTGTTGTAAAAGAAAAAAAATCATTAAATAGAAAATTGTTTTCCAAGTGTGAAGCTCATAGTTCTTTTTATTTTTTTATACACATGCACACAAATAAACGATAGATATAAAATCTTAGTAAACAGATGTGCATACATGATACTAGTATGACAATGTGGATTTTCACTGTATAAATTAATAATAGGAAAATGTTAAACGAAAAAAAGATATTAAATGCTACAACTCATCTTTAAAATTGTTCAAATGGCACTGACAAGAATGACTAGGTTGTGGTACTTCTTCCATGTTATTTAATATTTCAACTTTACTCTTTAAGCGTTTACTCCATTCCTGAAATATAAGAATTGTATTATTTGGCAAATATATACCCGAGAAAAATATCGAAAATAAAACTTTCTCACATACATAAAATAAAACTGTATAGTAACATAATATATCACGTGGTAATAAATTATCCCTTGCAAATTGTCTGGCAGATTTCACAATCTTTAATCCATCCTTGTCATGTTCCTTTGCCCATATAATTTTATCGACAAGATCCGAAAGATCACTTGTTACAGGTACATAATGTAATCCAGGTATAAGATCTTTATAAAAAAATTCATAATAATTGGATTCTTGCTTAAACACTAAAGAATCTCCAGCAAGCAAATACGGGAATCGATATGCTGCTACTGTGCCATCAATATTCAATAGATACTTGTACTGTAAAAAAATATAAAGAATTAATATAAGATTACTAAAACAAATGTAACAAAATTTTAAACATAAATTTAACTTGTCCTTTTCAATAACATTTATAAAATATTTACTATCTACCTTTCTAAAGTTTTTGTGTATGTGAATACAATTTCAAAGTTATACATATCAATTACATTTACATTTTAGAAAAAATAGAAAAAAGCTACTATTTCTCTGACTAATATAGCAGAACATGCATTAAACTTTGTAAGCAGATTTTATATCGAATACTTAATAATGTACGTTCACTTTTAAGAGAATAACTTTGTGAAGAGATTTTTGTATATTTACCATAAAAAAATTAAAAAATGATACATGATTTTGCGCAGGTCCATATTTATCCATTTCATCTCTAAAGAAGAAGAAATTAGTAATAGACACATTGAAGAGTTCTGGATGCTTTCTTGAAATATCTATTAAATCTAGCCGTTCTCTTCTGGAATCACGTCCACGCCAAAATAATTGTTCAGTCTTGTTCTCCCATGGCAATCCAGTGTTACCTTGTACGGAGAGCGTATCTAACATTACCCTGTTTTTTTTAGGAATATAATATTGCAAATAAAATGATCATATAAATTATTAACATTATCGATACATGTTATACCTTCCCATCGCTTCCAGTGATGATTCTGTGATATCATATGTAGGCATAACAATATCTTTACTATTGTTAGATCCGCACCATGAAAAAATAGGATAAATCGGGCCTGTATTCGGGACAAGCGGCCAATCTCCAAGATTTACAAAGAATTCAATGTCTGGCAGTACTAGTTTACGTGCGAGAGATAACAATATACCATCCATAAATATTTTAAAGCCAACATATTGACCATAACATTGCCTATAAATCTAATTTAATTTACATTAAATTTAAACTTAACATTTAATTTAAAATTAAGATTTATTATTTTTTAATTTAATTTTAGTTTAAGTCAACTTTTATAAATAAAAAATATGAAAAATATAATGATAGTATTATATAACATATTTACTTTGTTCGATTTTAATACATAATGACAAATGCTGACACTGGTAGGTTTATCATATCTCTTAATAATGCTTTGACGTATTTTGCCAAAGTCAATATTTAAAATGGAGAGAGGTCATAATGTATTTGAGTATAATTTTGTCGGCATTGATAATGGTGTAGCCAATTAATAATTGATGGATTTGGACAGTAACATTCCTCCTCGTAAACAGGACCTAAAAAAATATTTTTTTATATAATGATCCATAGAGAATTTGGAAAGATTTTATAAGAAAAAAAAAATATAAATACATACCTTTGATTTTTAAATGAGGCAATGATAATTCTTTTCCATTAATTTTTACTTTAATATTAATGCTAGAACAAGTATTAAAAACTTTATAGCGTACAATAAAACTTCCATCTTTACAGTCAAAAATTTGAGTCCATATGCGGCATGGTGCATTATCAAAAGAATTTCCATTTACTTGTCCAGTAACTATATTTTCACCAGGAGTTTTTGTCAAACTAAAATATGTAATAACATAATTTTACATATAAGTCAAATAAGTTACAGAAATACTAATTGTATATATATTTATAATTCATTTACACAAGAATTAAAATTTCTCTGTCTGAAATTTTACTCTTATCTTTAATAATTATATTATCATATAAAATTTAGAATATTCTGCATATAATTGTTATAACATAAATGTATAAAATAAAGGTTGCTACTTAAATATCATTAATAGTATCGTCATTAATAATTTCATAAAGATTCAACATTTTTTTTTGTGTTACTTCATTATTGAACATAATAAATATATATACATAATAAAAATATACATATATAATATTATATATATGTAATTGAATATTAACTTTTTTCCATCTGAATCTACAAGCTGTAAAAAGAAATATCTTGCACGCATAGTAACTTCTGCTGGTTTCAATCCTGGACCCCAAACAATTGTTTTCAATGGGTCTACATCAAAGTGATTTCTCGCTCTCGCGCAAATAAGTAACAATAACAATATTATTAGGCGCATAATTGTTGGCAGCACTTGAACGAATAATAAACACAACTGCCCTGATTTAATATAATGCCTTTGTTACTGAAAATTTATTTTTTAAAAATTAATTATAAGGTTAGGATGTACATTCATCTATAATTATCGTGTAAACTTTAAATTATCTATGAAGATGTAAGCCTTTGCATGTCATAATTTATTACACAAATTATGTTTACATTTCGAGCTTATATTTACTTGTACTTTTCTTGTAAATGCATAAGTTTTTCAATAACCGGCTGTTCGCGCACGATTTACTTTTGACAGTTCCAAGTTTCTTTAGGGCAACATGTATATATATGTATATACATATACACATATATATTTCATCTGTCCTTTTTATGTGAAACTGATCAACAAAATACACTAAGAAGATAATTGTAAATGAATAAACAATTTCATGAAATTATATATTTTTAGTTGATTTAGACATATTATATAATCTTTTAATATCATCTACAAGAAATAAATTTCAAAATCACTAACATAATGTAGTGTAAAATAAAAGTTACAAAATATACAAAAGATTTATTTATTAGATTATATTAACCGACGTATTATAGTAATATGAATAATTTTTATAATTTTTTGCACATATTCTTAAAATATTTTATATATATACATTTTTTATTTTTATAAATAAATATTTAAACATTTCCTACAACTTTCGCACGTATACTGAATATAAATAAACAAATTTTAACATTTTTATAAATAGCTAATTCACGATAATAAAGTGATTCATTATCATGTTAAACACTAGCAAATTTTTGTACAGCATTACAAATATATTATTACATCCTATTTCGTCTCTATTAATGTTCTATATTAAAAAATATATCTAATTTGAAAGAGTATAATACATATACTAATAATATTATATACAAAATCAGTTTCACTTTTTGACTTCATAAAAGTTTCTTTTCCAATCTCAAGGCTTCCAACCAAGGAAGCTGTCCTGTATTACTATCTGTTTGAATATACCACTCGACATGGATTGCACGGGCTTTCGATTCCGTTGAGCTTCCATGATATAAGAGACCTTTCCTCGGGCTTCAGCTCGCGATATGTCACCTCGAAGACCGAGCAATCTGATCAGATGATCCTCGGTCATGTCAGGATACTTCTCGATCAGGGAGTGCAGATCGAGCGAGAGAATCTCCGCATCCTCACACCTGAGCACCTCAGCAAGACGTTTTATTATCTCGAACGGCGAATTGAAATTACCAACTTTCGGCGCGATTCTGTCGAAGAAGTTCTTCAATTTATCCGCCTCCGTCATTATCTTCGATGTGCAGGTCAAGCATTCGTCGTACGTCTTCAACGAGATCTTCCTCTGCAGCATCGCTGATATATATCGCTTCGCGATCAGATTCTGCGCTTCGGTAATAACATACTCGAAGTTCTTCGGACTCAGGTGATTATAATCTTGAAAATAATCCTCCAAGGTAACGCAGATGGTCTCCACCGGGATAGGCGACGACAACCATTTGGGCGTAATCAAATCTTGAAAATGCAGCTCCAAATCCAGAAAGGATTCTTGCAACAATATAGTCGCGGCTTCGTTCCTCAATTGCTGAAAATTCGCTAGAAGGTTTTCGAATTTTACAGTGGCATCTCCTGTGGTATTAGGCACCCAGTAAAGCTGCTTCATCTGCTGCGCCAATTCGTTGAACTGCAAACAATTATTGACAACTGTAATCATATGATGAGTGAAGTAAGGAACCTGACTCCTGTCCTCGAAGTGTTTTGTTTTAAATTCCAGTATTGCTTGTCTGTACATATATCCATATTTAGTTACTTGTTCTATGCAGAGAACCAGTGCTTGTGCTGTTAAATCAGGACTGATGGTCTTTGCTACTTGAAGATTTTGATCAATCATTTGAAATATAATAACTGGGGCTGCGGTGTGATAATATAATTCTTGAGTACTGCTGTCAGGTAAAACACCGCTTCTCCAGTCGAGTTTCTCCGTTTCCAACGTTTTTCTCATCCAATCTTCATAATTTTGACACATGTTTCGCAAATATTTCTCCTGTAGATCGTTTATCATCTCAGAACTAAGTAGTGGACCAATATCGGACGTGTCAATATTTAACTCAGGATGCTGCATCAGTTCTGATCCTGTATAAGTATTCATAATCCATGCTAACAGAGAAACATATTCGTTACCTTCCAGTCCATTAGTAATTATATCCTTTAAATGTTGAGATAGACTGGTATGATACATTTTAACAAAAGTCCTTACTATGTCGTACCAAGGTGGGAAACAAGGCCCACATAGAGTCTTTACCACTCTCAAATCTTCAAGGATCAAGAGTCTCGTAAGTTCTAAATATCTTACTAACCACATTTTGTTATCCGCTCTCTCATCCACCTGAGTTCCTTCAATTCTATTGGCCACTGATTTCTCCAACACCTTCATTGCCATATCCTTCCATTTCTTAGGTCTACCTGGTGCCATAAAACCACTTTGCTTGTGTCTTTGAATAGCAAATTGATCCGCTTTCTCTTCTCTTTCTATAATTCTCAAAGGTGTTACTATGACAGTAGGTTCTTTTCTGACTGTGTTTAACGTACGACTCAATACCAGCCTGATTTGTTTTTCCATAAGTTGAGAAAGCATTTCCACATCTTCGAAATAAGCTTTTAGCATAATTGTATCTGCTGGCGATTGATTTGGCAATTTATGAAGTTCGTATAATAATTCGTCTCTGGAAGTTTCAAGATCCATTAGGCTCTGATGTGCATGCAGCAATTTACCCTCGTTTATCCACTGCTTCGTCTTCTCGACGCTCTCGGGGACGGTAAATATATGCTTCAGGTTCTCCTTTGCGATGACATATTGAGAATGACGCATATTCTCTTCCTGCACCGCTTGCAGCCTGGAACTTAGCTTCAGGACAGAACTGAACAGCTGATTAACCTGATCCAGCTCCTCCTTGACAGCAGTGATACTCTCCAAAGAACTTTGTAGCTGCTCGAAGCCGACTCTGACTCCGTCTAATTGACTCTGCATCGCGGCCTTCAGCATCGTCTCGACGGATGCCTTCTTCCTGCTGATTCTACGCTTATACATGTCGATCTTTTCCAGTTGACCTGGTCGCTGCACAAGATTCGTCACATACTTGGTACCCCTAGCTATCGCCTCTTCTTCCAATTTTTGTAGATCCTCCATACTCGTCGTCATTTTTATTGACAATTAAGCTGTGAACTGGCAAACTATTAGAATTTTATTTTGCTTTTTATCTTTGATAGAATTCTGTTCTAGAATTTTATTTACCTTTTCTTCCTTATATATCTCTTCTATTGTGTACAATATTTTATTTAATCGAAAAATCTGAATTCCATGAAACTGGACGTTCCGTCAACCAACAGCTGTATATCCTTCTTCTTCTTCTTCCGATTTGTATTTCGGCTTTAAAAACACTCGTTTTTTCACTCCGCCAAGTAACAGCTGAGAGGACGTTTCCCCTATGAAAACATTTCATCTAGATAAGAAAATAATTAAAAGGAATGTAAGATGTCATTTTCAAAAAAGGAGTATGAAAAGGGAACACACCTGATTCGCTGCGCCATTTTGCGATTACTCTTCCGGATGAAACACGAATGTTCCTCTCTTGTTTATATATGATACATGACGTATAGCGTTTCCTAATGTTTTGCTTGTCAGGTTAGAAGCACATTGGAGTCAAATTTTTAATCTCCCTGTAATTATTTCTCACATCGTGATTGATTCGGAGCAATCTTTCTTTTGATGTAATATAAATTTTTAAGAAGATATGTATTTTTCAATTTAGACGTATAATTGTAAAAAAATGCGGTTCTGTTTCAGATGGCTCATTTATCACAATTGTTCTCTCTCACATTACAAAACATCCGACAAACTGCAATATTAGGCAATATTAATAATTTAGGTTTGTATTAAAATACTGCACAAATTACTTTATTAATGTAATTGAAATAATGATAAATGTAATATATAATATATATTTTGTGTATTACATGAATACTTAACAATTATTTCTTTTTTATTTAGCAAACATATGTGTCAGGTATGCTTCGAAAAAAGCTAGCAGTAGTACCAATAATAAACCTTGTCATCCTAGACCGAAACACAGAGGATGGAAAGTACAGGATGGACATTATGTACAAGCAGGCAAAATATTAGCCACACAGTTACATACTAGATTTCATGCAGGTCTTAATGTAAGTATTAATTACATCTTCTGATTATTGTAAACTCTGCACATTTATTAATACTTTTGATTATAAAATAGGTCGGTTTTGGGAAAAATGGAACTTTATTTGCCATAGAATCAGGCAAAGTAATGATAACTTGTGAGAAAATTAATCCTAATTGGAAACATGCCTGGATTAGACGATGTTATTCTGGTCGTGAAAACCAAATTATATATAAGAAACATTTTAATGTTATTCCTCAGCCACAACATAATCGATTTCAATTGATTGAAAGAATATAAATATCTGTTATATATATATAGAAAATGTGTAAAGATTGTTTGTTTTAAAATCCCAATATTTAGTATTTATTAATTAAACATTCGAATATTGTTCAAAACTATGCTTATCTTTAATATTTTATTAAAAAAAAGAAAAATTTTTAAAAGATTTAAAATAAAAATTTCTCCAATAATGTAAATTAAAATTACAAGTTAAATTAAAATATAAATAAATGTGCTTTTTTTACTTAAAATTCACTCAATATATTAACTATTTTCAAATATATTACTCCCTGCCCACTGAAAGGATTGATACTTTACTGTATCCTCTTCTTCATAATATGTAGCAAATACCATTGTTTTTCTGACATGGCAACTGATTCTACATTGAGCTACAAGTTCTGTAATAGATATTTCTTCGTCTTTGCATCTACACTGTATTATAAATTGTGCATGAAACATTATTGGATCACCTGTAAATAAAAAATTTTATCAATATATTATAAAGATATAGTACAGAACAGAACATTTTATAACAGTATACAAAGAAATAAATATACCTGGATATACTAAGAAGTCACCACCAAATTTATCTCCACTAGTAATATAATATTCTTTTTCCCAAAGATCTTTGTATACTTTATATTTATGTTGTTGATTGGGAGTAAGTGGATATTTCCATTCTACTTCTTTCATGTCATCTTTATTAAACCATGGATATGCTAATAAGAGTAAATTATATTAAATAATATATGTTTTGTATGTGTATGTACACAGATCTATATAGAATACTGGTTTTCTGTGCATTACCTGTATGTGTTTGAACAAGAGCTTCAGCTTTACTTAATTTAGGTAATTTAGCCAATTCTTCCTCTAATAGATTTTGAGTGTTAATTTCAATACTGTCTAAAGCTTCCTGTGTTTTTTTATCTACTGGTTTCTTCATCTTTTTTTTGCTTGTATGCAATCCCAATATCTTGCGCTTTTTTCCTTCCACAATTTTGTCCATCACAGAAGTAATCTTATGTAAAGAAATTCATTATTTTATGTTAATAAGACACATTTGGTTATTCCTTAATATATTTTACTATAAATATACACAAATTATAATTACCTGTTTTTTTCTATTCTCTCTCAAACATTCTGATTGCTGTTTAAATAGTGTGTCTCTATACTCTTGAAATTTTTCTCTCAATGATTCAGTTGGTGGTTTTCCTAGACTTGAACACTGTACGAGACGAGCAATTTTTTTTCTCAAGTAAAAGAGTTACTTCTTCTGGTAACAGAAGTAATGGAAGTCCTGAAAATACATCTTGCCTAGTTAATTTTGGAAAGGAACCCACTAATTCGCCAATTATTCTATGATCCTGTCGAAGTTTCAACCAATCTATATAAACAAAACAACATAAATTAAATATACATATTTTCTAATACATAATACAAAAATATTACATATAGTATATAAGAATTTTTTTTTTACCATCTGCATTCCATACAAAAACATTATTTTTCGAGAAAATTAGACAAATGACATCCATTGTATCCATAATTGTTTAGTTGTCAAAAACTAAACTAGTCAAAAAGAAAAAATATTAGATTATTTATAATATAATTTCTAATAAAAGATCTCGTTTCCTTAAAAAAAATCGCACTCTTTCACAACTTGTCGTAAAAGTCAACATAAGCCAAATGCTCCAAAGCAAAGCCTGTCAATTCTGAGTTATGCTCGAAAATTACACGTCGAAGTAATATTTGACAGACCAATCAAAACAAAGAAATTTTTGCTTTTTCCACCCCGATTGGTCAGCCAAATTTTACTCTCCTCCGTAAAGTAGATTTTCGAACACATGTCTTAAATTTAATACATCATTCATTAGCTGATTATTCTGATTCCTTATATTGAAATGAAATTGGCCGACTATTTTTCTCTATTTTTCTTTCTTTTTTTATATATATAGCATAAAAAAAAATTAATTAAAAGATGCAATTTAAAGATGCAATGTGCACCGTTCATAAGAGATCTATGACGTCAAAAGACCATCATTTTCACGAACAATATTTATGGGAAGAAGGGGGAGAAGAAAAGAAAGGGAAAGAAAGAGAGAGAGAGAAAGAGAGAAAGGTGATTGTCGAACATCTGTCACCAAGCGCGAACGCTAACTTCGTTCAGTCCCGAAAACCGCGATACTGTCATGGCACCCGCTTTTGTGATTTTTTGAGGCGGCCACGTACATACATACGTGCATAAACGCGAATTCGGATTGCGGTCGGTGATTTTATACAAGACGAATCTCTCGCCTCCCTCCCCGCGTTACAGACGGTGAGTCTGCGATATCCTGGGCCGGCCAAACCTTGTTTATGTACCTTATTTTATCCGCCGAGCAAGTAATTTTAGGGCAAGCCCTTTGACTCGAGAACACGATTAATTTCGCTGTGACCGATGATCTATAATACGAAATAGTGACGAGATCGCGAAAGTGAGCTTTTTCCTCGAATTTGTAAACATTCCGTCTGCAGTACGGTTTATATTAATGATAAAAAAAATAAGAATATTTAAAAATTATACAATCGTTCCGTGCACTTACATTTTTTAATAATATATTATTTATATCGAGAATATAAGTATAAAAAAACACGAATTTTGTATATTTATATTAAATGTATATGTTTTGTTTATCTATATAGTGGTTATATTTACATTAATAGTGTTAATTCGCGAGAACGTTATCTTAAGTGATTACATACACAAACAGATTACAAAATTACTAATTATATTTCTCATTTAATTAATACAGCAAGTACAATCTGTTAACAGACGTACATACTTATTAATACTTAAAAACTTATACGTAACTGATAATATATTATTGAATGTTATATAGTGACACTAATTATATTTATCTTTTCCCCTTTAGCTATTAAATCATGAGCTCAGGTAGACCAATAAAATGTGTAGTAGTAGGAGATGGAACAGTAGGAAAAACCTGTATGTTAATATCGTACACAACGGACAGTTTTCCAGGAGAATATGTACCTACTGTGTGAGTAATGTTATATTAATGCGAGTTGTATATAGTATCTGCTTTTTTGTGAAAGAATCTTTTACTTTCATAGTTTATATTAAAGACATATTTTATGACAAGGTTTTTGCCTTAGTGTCTTTCTTAGACCAATCAAATGGAGTGGCTAATAATAGCAGAGAGTATGAGATACCTAACTGCTGTACAGGAAGTAATTTATTTCAACTTGTCTTTTCATGTTACTTTTTAGATCTTGCCTTTTAGATTCTTACAAATCTATTTTTGCTTTATTTTATTCAGTAAACATCTTTCTTAAAACTTATATAATTTTTATAATTATTTGTATATAAATATTAAAAAATATCTAAAATTAAAATATCTAAATAAAAATAAATAGTAAATAAATCTTATTTCTTTTTCTTTTTGTTTTCTTAAGATTTAAATAAAATTTAAATAATTAGGATTTAAGTAAAATATTTAATAGATAAATGATTTAATAAATAAATGCTGAATATACTAAAAATAGATTGAAAAATATGTACTAAATGTACACTAAATTTCTAATATTTTTCAGGTTTGATAATTACTCTGCACCCATGGTTGTTGATGGAATTCCAGTTAGTCTAGGATTATGGGATACAGCAGGACAGGAAGATTATGACAGACTTCGTCCTCTCTCCTATCCTCAAACAGATGTGTTTCTCATTTGTTTCTCAGTAACGAGTCCTTCATCATTTGAAAATGTAACCAGTAAATGGTATCCTGAAATAAAACATCACTGCCCAGATGCACCAATGATACTCGTTGGAACTAAAATAGACTTACGAGATGATCGTGAAACGCTTACTGCCTTAGCTGAACAAGGCCTTAGTGCTATTAAGCGTGAGCAAGGACAGAAATTGGCAAACAAGGTTTGTAGAAAAGTATTGTACATTTCACATAGTTTATAATGCTAGGGTAATCTAGTAATAGATTCATAACAAAGATATTACAATGTATGCAATAGATTCGTGCAGTGAAATATATGGAGTGTTCCGCTCTCACACAACGTGGATTGAAGCAGGTATTCGATGAGGCAGTACGCGCTGTTTTAAGACCTGAGCCGCAAAAACGTCGACAAAGGAGGTGCATTATGTTATAAACGATAAAAGGAATTGCGAAGAAAATCAGCATAACTAAACGTAACGTATATAATATAGCAACAGATCAAAATAGATCTGATAATTGAACGCAAAGAAAAATATGAATGTTTTTAAAGAGAAGATGAATAGTACATGTGCATTTTAACGAATTATTCTGGCAGCTATAGAATATACCACATCACAGAAAGAGTACAATTTATAACTTTCTGGTCTTAATTGTATGATGCTAATTCATGATCAGAAAGTTTAGACAACGAGAAAGTAAAGAAAAAAGAGAAAATAAAATAGAATAACTATTTAACAGTATTTGCAGGAAGGTTTATTGCTGGCTTACAGGTGTCATTTCTTAAAGTTACGTTTATGCATATATTTGCATATTGACTGTAGTAATGTGGGGTCAATGGGGAAAAGAAACTCACTTATAATGTTTCTTCATATTTTACACAAGAGAATCTCTGTTAATTAGTATTGCAGTCCTGCAAATGATAATACAGTGTAAATGTGCTGTGATGATTAAAAGCTTATCAGGGCTGCCAGATTTTCGACTTTTTACATTTACAATATAGTAGGAACATTGATTTTAATACATGTATAATGCGATAGCTATCATACAATCACATGCTAGAAAGTTTTTACAAGATGTAAAACTTTCTAGCATTATAGAATTATTTGAACATACAGTGCCATAGCAACGAAGAAACAAAATAAATGTCGCAAGCACTCAATCACAATCAGTTCTAGACAATATATGTGTGTATTTTACTAACATAATTAGTCTCTTAATATAGAAATTTTTAACAAAAAAAGATATTAGTCAGAAAAATTAAATTGTATATTTTTTTTAGGCAGAAGTAGCATTTGTTTTTCATTTTTTTTTAATATTTATTTTTAATTTATTAATATTATTTCTAATAAAAAATATATGTGTATGATATGCATACAAGATACTGCCATATAAAATAACAAACACGACAATTCATAATATTCCTCGTGCTATTAAAGAAGAAGGAATCAATAATATTGTGTAATAATTGTGCAAATTACATTTGCTAATGATACATAAGATACTTTATTGTCTAGAATTGCAACAAGTTTTCCAATTATTAAAACATATTAAAAGAAATAATAATGTACTATCTATCTGTACATTAATATTTATTTTATTTTGATAAATCTAAAAACGAAGTTAGTTTATATTGTGATTTTATATTGGAGGATCTAAATATATATATATATATATATATATATATATATATATATATATATATATATATAATCTCCATTTTATATATAATATTTTCTATTTGTGCTTGTATAAGCGTTATAATATTCTACAAGTTATTGCATTGATGCAATTTGATTATTAACATTATTCGAATATCTTTTATGTCAACTAAAAATATTTTTTGCAAAAATAATAATCAAAAGAAATATATCAATTGAATACACAAAATGCCATTAACAAATATAGAGCAATGCAAAGTCCACTTCAATTGAAATATACAAATATAGCACAATGTATTTTCTTAAACACTATAGTATATTTCACTCTCTTCCATTTATTTATACGAGAATTGTTTACATGAAAAATTAATACAAAAACCTATAATTATTAATATAATTTAGAGAAATATAGAGATGTCTTGTACAAATAAGTGATCTATTGCTATAAAGTTGCTCATATCATTATCTCTAATTCATTACTTTATTAATTAATTATATCGCGATTGTACTTTTTTCTTATTTATAGATTTTTTTCTATTTAGACTGAACTAAAAGAAACGATCAAATTGCCATAGATATTATATCCTCTTTCTAAGGACTCAATGATAAAGTAGTGTGATGATAAATGGATATTATCCTACTTGTGATCGTGCTATTTTTTTATATTCAAAAGATAAGAATATATAGAAGAGATATGACCTTTGTGCCATATTTGTGCTTTCCATTTGTAAAACAGATATTAAATGCCACACTTGATATTCTGGAACGGCAAATTCCTGAATAATTTAAAATTTTTCGAAGCTGGGATTATAAAGAGAAAATATTTAATACTAGAGCGATTGAGAGAGTGGACAGAGCTATTTACAAGAATAATTCTCCGTCTTATTTCTAAAGGAAGAGATAAGAATATTTTTTATAATGAGAGAGAGATAAAAAAGCAGAATTTCCTTATATAATCTGTATTACCAAACTAATTCGCAAAAATACATTTTCGTTAGTAAATAAAAAAGGCATATTGCAGCTTATTACGTATGTACATAATGTATCATGGAAGTATATTCTAAATTTTGATCAAGCCTACATTTTTTAAAATGTAAATTTAAACTTTTCTATTTTCAAAATCTTTGTATATACGCTGATTAAGTTTTACCCACAGGATCACTGGATTATTTAAAATATAAGATAGATGAACAAATGTATCCAATCTTTTTTTTGTTCGATTTGTGAAACATGTTTCCGAGATAAAACACAACCATTGCTAGATTATTATACATGTAAAATTATCTCGTGTAATATATTTATAATATTCTCTTACTTTCAAATCGTCATGCAATTTAAGATTAGAATATTTCGTAAATATTAAAAGTGTATGTCTTAAAAATGATGAATGATCAAATTTAGCCTCTCTTCTCTTCTCTCTTTCTCTCTTTTTTCATCTTTTTTATTACAATCTCTAGGAAGATAATTTAAATTCTTTATGTGTATATGTATACGCCTGTATATGTATAATAATGTATTAATTATAGCACAATTAATATACTATAATTATGTATTATAAGATAATGTTATGCATAGATTGCATTTTTTGTAAGTAGTGCATTTATTTTACAAGTTTTAAGATACACATGTTAGCTTTTTTATATTGGATAATATTACCAAGTGACAGATGAACAACAATGTGTATTAGCAGCAGTATTTATCAATTTGTTACTATGATCTTATATGCATTTTTTTGTACAAGACATTTTTAATATCATTTCTTATTGCAGTTTCTCATTGCATAACTAAAGTAAATTTAGTTATATAATTAATACAATTAATAACATTACTAATAGCAGTCGATTAAAATAGTATGTACATTGCTCATATATGTATTTTTATGGTCAATTTTAATTTGGATGCATAACAGCATGGTGAAATCTAAATTACACTACTTACAACTTTTGCATTTAATGAAGATCGCGCGAATTGCTCTTTTTAATATTTCCTATTTTTAATGAAATTATTGAGGAATGCTGTAAACCAAAGTTATATTATAATCTAAGATAACATTTACGTTCTTCTTTTATTATGGACTATTGCAAATAAGATACACAAAGAAGTGAGTGTACGAAAAATGTAAAAATATTCTAGTCACCAAAAATCTGCTTCTAACTTTTATTCGCGCATACGCGAATAAAATGCTCCGAGAATATAAGCAAAATATTATATAATCTTTACATGAAGCGGGTATGAATGAGCGAAAAAGCAATGAAGATAGCAAAGAATGGGGATATGAAAGTAAAAAGATGCAACTTAATATTGTCAATTTAGATAGAATGCAAAAAAAAAATAAACCAAACGCGCGATGTGAGAACAGGAATTCTGTAGAAATTACAAATATATATGTATATGTGCTAAGATATAACTTCAATTATGAATAATTTATAAACATTTGTCTCTATTTTCATATATATAATAAAATCTTTTATTTATGTATTAACATAGGGGCAGCATAAGAGAGCATTCCACTTTTACACATATTTCAATCCTACGGATTTATGAATTTCTTTTTCTTTTTTGTGACAATTAAATATTAGAATAAATTCACAAAACAAATATATGTATATAATATATTTTCATTACTGATGCATCTTTTCTAAGCTTAATGCACTCTTCTGCTGTCATAACGATAGTGAAAACAGCAGTAACAAATAGCGGCCTCAAAACTAATTCTTTGGAATTTTTTTTTGTTATTTTATTTAAAAAAATTTTTTTTGCAAAGAAGATTATAATAACAATGCGAGCAACATGATTACATAAACGCATATTCTATATGGCACTAGGAAGCATTTATTTTTTATTTATATGTATTTTGAAAACAACTTTTTCAAATAAACGATACAATAAAAAATAAATAAAACTAATATAAAGCAGCGTAGTTTGTAAGACGTCTATATATTAGCTATATATTTATAATATTTATAATATATTTTTCAAGAGAGCGAGTTCTTTGAGAAATTTTTCTTCTCTTCCTTTTACAATTAGCATGCCTCTTCATAATTTTCGTTGTCATTTCATAAAAGTTTGCTCTTACACAAAAATTAGAAAACTTTGGAAATAAACACAATAAGGTTTGTTTACACCAACTATGTCCAACTACAACTTATGACCGAACGAACTTTAACTATATTTCCTGGGAATAAATTCTCGCAACGACTAGATCTCTCTCGTTATTTAATTATTTATGCGATGTGAGGGATGACACCCTATTGTATATATATATTACACACACACACGTGCACGGGGCACTAAAATATTCCAAGTCGGTTCTGGATCAGCCACGTGTTAGACGAAGATATACAGTTCATACCTGTTCTTTATCTGTTCTTTTTTATTTATACGGCGATCACGAATCATATACAGGGTGTTGAGAAAAAAGGTAAAATCTTTTAAGAGGACTTAGTATATATGTCTTAAAATAAGTAGTCTTAATAAACATGATCCATTTTTGAGATATTTTCAATATGGTATAACTTAATATTAATTTACCTATAATTTAATTTTTAATTTACCTATATTTACACGAATAAAATTATAAAAATAAAAGTATATTATATATATAATATAAATACCTCAAAAATAGTTTATTTGCCCATGTTTATTAAGACTCATTCTTGGATTTACTAAAATATTTTACCCTTTTTTTCAACACCTTGTATGCACGAACACACACGTATATACAGGGTGTCCGGTAACTAACGGACCAATGATTAAGGGCGGATTCTCTGGCCAATTTAGATACGATTTTTTCTTAGCAAAAATGTTGAGAAGTCAATAATTTTCGAGTTATAAGCGATTGAAAAAAATGGGTTTTTTGAAAACTAAACGTTTTGGAGTTAAAAGTCTAACATAATTA